CGAGCCCGCGCCCGCCCGCAGGCAGCTGCCCTCGCCCAGGACCCTCTCGGCCCGCGCGTGTGAGGAGCGAGGGGCGCGCGGGTGAGGGGCGCGCGGGTGAGGGGCGAGGGGTGAGGGAAGCGCTGTGAGGGTCGAGGGGCCCTCGGGTGAGGGGCGAGGGGTGAGGGGCGCGCGGGTGAGGGACAAGGGGCGCGCGGGTGAGGGGTTTATGCGGAGGGCTGCTTCTGCGTCAGCGGCTGTCTCTTGCCCGGGGCCCGGCCCTCTGCCCCCTGCACGGCTGGTTTTGTGGGGATCATAAGGACAGTCACCGCCTAACTAGGAGCAAGTCCGCGACAGTCGAGGAAACAGGGCGCTCCCGCATTGCACCCCAGGCTGGCGTTGGGATTTCTTCTGAGCCTGCGCTGCGAGGCGCCGGGAATGAAGAGTGGAGCAAAAGGCACAGCAGGAAACCTGGGAGAGAAAAAGCAGCTGCCCCTGCTCCGCCGCGCCCTCCCCCAGCCCTTGGGCCTTTGGGATCTTGCGCCCTCTCTGCCCTGGAGGTTGAAGTAAGCTCCAGGCTTCCTTTCCGACCCTCGCTGGAGCACTGGGGTCCCAGATGCTGGCCTCGGTTTTCCTAAATCCAGAGGGTATGGAGGCACCGGGCAAGATGGGGCCGCAGCCGGGGGCCTAGAGCCGCACCTGTGCACGGGGCCTCCAGGAGCCAGGCCCAGTGGACACAATCTGGCATGCTCCGACCTCGCCCCACAGGCCTCACCCCTCAGAGGAACCCGGAGAGGTGAGCTGATGACTGCAGAGTGAGTTTGTTCCTTTTCCATCACCACCTGCCCAGGGTCTGGGCCCCGCCCACCCAGTCAGCATCAGCCAATCACAGCTCATTGCAGGTGCTTCATTTGTCATGTGACTTCCTGCAAACAAGAGAAGCCGACCAAGCCATGCACAGCTGGAAAATGGCCGTTATAAGGACATAAGCCCTAATCCCTGCAACCTGTAAATATTACCTCATATGGGAAAACAATGTTTCTTTTGCAGATGTTATTAAGGATTATCCAGGTGGGCCCTACACACTGTGGCTCACGCCCATAATCCCAACACTTTGGGAGCCCCAGGCGGGCAAATCTCTTGAGCCCAGGAGTTCAAGACCAGCCTGGGCAACATGCGGAGACCTGTCTCTACAAAAGATAGAAAAATTATCTGGGTTTGGTGGAGCACCCCTGTGGTCCCAGCTACTCCGGAGGTGGAAGGATCCCTTGAGCCCAGGAGGTCGAGGCTGCAGTGAGCCAGGATTGCACCACTGCACTCTAGCCTAGGTGACAAAGTGAGACTTTGTCTCAAAAATAATAAAATACAAGGCCAGGCTGGTCTTGAACTTCTGGCCTCAAATGATCCACCTTGGCCTCTCAAAGTGCTGGAATGACAAGCATGAGCCACGGTGACCTGCCACGTGTATCTTTGTAAGAGGAAGGTAGAAGGAAATTTGGTGGCACACAGAAGAGAGGGCCATGGGAATATGGAGCAGAAATGAAGATGGGGCCTTGAAAGTGGAAGTGAAGCAGTCACAAGCCAAGTAACGCTGGAGCCACCAGAGTGGCAAGAAACAAGGAGCAGTTTCTCCCCAGGAGCCATTCAAAGAAGCCTGGCCCTGCCAACACCATGATCAGCCCAGGAAAAGTGATGGTGGACTCCTGGCCTCTGGAACTGTGAAGAAATACAATTCTGCTATTGTAAGCCACCCAACTTGTGGTCATTTGTTACAGGAGCCACCAGAAGCCAATACAGGAGCCAAATGAGTGACTGAAGAGATCAGAGTTGTGACAGAGAGAAAGCAGAGCTGTGCCTCATGCTTTCCAGGCTCTGCTCATGAGAAACAGGTCACTGGGTTGTCCCCAAGCAGAAGAGGGTGTCACGTAGGAGCATGAATACCTCTGGGAACCACTTAAGAAGGTGCCTAACACATGATGCTTATAAAATGAAAAGCAAACAAAGCGACCTTGTTCTGAGAGCTGGGAGAAGACTGGAGCCACTGTTTTATAGATGAGGTCTCACCATGTTGGCCAGGTTGGTCTTTGAACTCCTGGCATCAGACAATCCTCCCACCTAAGCCTCCCAAAGTGCTGGGATTACAGGTGTGAGCTACCGTGCCCAGTTGCACACCCCATTTCTTTCTTTTTTGTTGTTGAGACAGTGTCTTGCTCTGTCACCGAGGCTGGAGTGCAGTGGCACCATCTTGGCTCACTGCAGTCTCCAACTCCTGGGTTCAAGTGATTCTTCTGCCTCAGCCTCCTGAGTTGCTGAGACCACATGCATGCAGCAAAACACCCAGCTAATTTTTGTATTTTTAGTAGAGACAGGGTTTCAGCATATTGGCCAGCCTGATCTTGAACTCCTGACCTCATGATCTACCTGCCCCAGTCCCTAAGGTGCTGGGATTATAGGCACGAGCCACTGCGCCTGGCCACACACCCCATTTCTTGAGGAAACCTGTGCAGAAGGTGGATTGGAACCTCACTTTAGGAGCCTGGCTTCTGAAGTTCCACAACAGAGAACTTCTGGTGTCATGTGATACGCTTGGCAGTCACCACCCCCATCCTTACAGCAGGGAAAAGCAGAGCACATGGCAAGCCAGCAGCCTTTCATGGGCCCATCAGAAAACTAAGGCTGCCAGACAAGCTGGCACCCTGCTGTAAAGAGACAGGCACATCAAGGTAGACACAGCACCTGAGAGCTGCTCACTCAAAGCAGAAACTCCTGGATAAACTGGCTTTAATGGAAAAATTAGACAACATGCAAGACCAGCTAGGTAATGTCTGCAGAGAGACAGAAACAATAATAGTAAAAACAACGTGCAAGAAGTCAAAAACACACTCATAGAAATAAAGAATGCTCATTAGTTGACTAGACAGAATGAAGGAAAGAATCAGTTAATATGAAGGTAAGTCAACAGAAACCCCAAACTGAAATGCAAGGAGAAAAGGGGATGAAAAAAAAAAAAGTCAACTGATATAGCTTGAGTGGGTGTCCCCAGCAAATCTCATGTTTAATTGTAATCCCCAATTTTGGAGGTGGGGCTTAGTGGGGGGGTGTTTGGATCATTGGGGTGGATCCCTCGTGAATGGCTTGGGTCGTTCCCATCATCCCTTTAGTGATGAGTAAGTACTCACTCTGA